CCCATGGCAACCACACTTCATCCATTCAGAACGCACTCGCTCGCGGAGCAGCTGTCATCGATCACGCTGCAATCGGAGCGGTCGGTCGTCCCAAATCAATCCATTTGAAATTTGCTGGGCCCGAGCTTGAAGCTGCTCTGCGAGGAAGCGCGAGATGAACCGTCTCGAAGACGTGACACTTGACGGCTTGGAAGAAGCTTTCTGACGGCGGAAATGTGCGGTCAGGTGTCATTCTTGCAAATTCTGCTCTCGCTCTATCTGCCCCCCCTTCTCACTGTCCGCTCTAAAATAAGAAAGGTGCTAAAGTAGGTCAGCGAGGTCCTCGGGTGGCCCGGGTCTTCGTACGCAGGCCAAGAACAAGCCAGTCTGCACACAGAGTCTTCTTGCAAATTGCTCGGTCATCGCTCAACGGTCTTTCTTCACCTGTCAAATCTTGCCTACAGCAGAGCTTGTCGTCGCCGCGGACTAGAACACCACAGCTCAAGAACACGGTGATCCGGCATCCTCATCACGGCGGCAGCCGCACATTTCCGCCTTTCGAGCTCCGTTCTTTGTTCACTCGTGAGCATGACCCAAAAATGCTTGAACGCCAGCTCTTGGGCCAGGGAGGACACGTTGCCCTTTTCTGACTTGGCCCTGATGTTTTTCAACTGCGAACTGCACCAGTGAGAGTTGAAGATCGAGGCTTGATGAAGCACAGCGGCTGCAAACGGCCGTGGGGCAATACCGACGTCACCAAAGCGGTCGCCCTCAATACCTCGGCCGCGTCTCGCAATTCTGTCCGTAAAGCTTAGGAGCAGAATTGGTGACTGAGGGCAAACTCGGCGAAGCCCATCCCTGACCAGAAATGAATTCCGACCAAGCTCCGACATGGCCCGTATCGGTCCCGCACTCCATGTTCCTAGCCATGAGTCATGAACTGCCTTCTGAGTCTTTGTCCCGGTTTTCTGCGAATGCAAATGTCTCCATTGTGAGACAAATAAAGGTTTTTTTCTTCTACTTCTTCTTCATCTTCCTTCACTGAAGAGACAGGCGTACTATGAAGACATCTCGGATTATTCAACTCAACTCAAGTGTGTCTGGAGAGCCCTTGAAAACAACCACCACTTTCTACAAAGTGCTGTGCATGGAGCAAAACGAAAATCCGACAACAAACAATAGATTCATGACAAAGAGAGTAGAAAGCACCAAGACAATCAAACGAAAAAACGCTGAAATCAATTGAATATATGATGCCAGCTGCTCCTTCGGGCCCTGCCGTGTCTCGTGGTCAGAGAGAGTCGTCCGTCCGTGCAAGACGGCTATGAATCATGCAAGAGGTGGATACACCTTGCACACATTGCACGCACACACAAGGCTCCAACATGCACACACAGTGAAATATTTAGAGCGGCTGGGGTTTCCTGATGGCGAGAACCTTAGCGCCGCTGCTGTTGAACTGCGGTCCCACCCGCTCCTTAAATCACCGTGACAACCCAAACTTAGTATTGCAACAAAGCAGGCTCGCTCGACAAAGTCACTCGGAGCAGGCATGCTCACGTGTTGATCGATGAAGTGGAGGCGCCATCAAGACGTTGCCGTAGACGCTCCGAAATGTATCGCGGCGGTTGACAGCAGCGATATGGAAATTTCGATTTGGAATAGGAATGCATATGTGGTTCCGCGCAAACAGAAAATGCACACGGGAGATGTCGCCGGGTTGCGCTTTCACCAAATAGGCCGAGCTATTTCTGCGTGGTCATGTGCAAACGAAACTCTGGCAGACAGCCGGCGGACACGTGGCAAAAGCCGACCTGTAACCCGTTCCTGTCAGGCCGGTGGACCGCTGCGAGTACTAGACAACGCTCGTTCAATTATTTAATGGTACAGACATTCTGAGTAAGATGCTCTGTCATCAACTGACCGCAACGGAGTCGGCTCCAGGGAGTCCCTCATTTAAGTTTATGCATGCAACATCTTGCAAAATGAATATGGACGAATATGGCACACTGGACAGGCCATTAGACACTTGGGATCGTGACGGCCGATCTTCAAAAATGTCATGACTCACACGAGCCAGTCTTTCCGATCGCATCTGCACTCCATGTCCGCATCCTGAGCACCTGCCGATGGGCCAAGACACATCTTGCCAACAGCCTCCTCTCCCTCCAACTCTTCAAACAACCGGACCCTCTCAGCTAAGTTTGAAACGTCGCTGTCCGAGTCTATCTTTGACTGGCTTTGCACAGTGAGCCCAGCAATTGTTGTCTTGAAGTGACGTCACACTTCCGGGTTAGTCGCTGTCAGGATGCCACCTCGGGGAAAACGATGACTTTGTCAAATCAACGAAATATAAATGATTTTTACTTGGTGTATATTGTTAAATTGCCCTTGACCGAAAAATATTTCATTTTGGCATTTTCTAAAATGACTCCACGCTTGGTAAATGTGGGCGTGTCTAAGAAGTGGCACCGTGAAAATCATCACGATCCGTCGAAAGGTGTTCAGTAAGGTTCACTACCTGCCATGAGTTGTGTGCGAGAATCAACTCCTGCGTTTGAGTCGAAAGCGGAACGGACGTACGGCACCGTTCGCGAAGGTTCCTTTGCGCGAAAGGGATGGAGCGAAAGCATGCCACGATATGGCGTTTGCCGTGTCGTGGAAGTCGAGGGCCAAAGATGGCAGCCGCGTGCCGACTGGCGAGCGACGATAACGCGCATTGTGATTCCAAAGTGACCGCGCGCGCAGGCTGCGCGGCGGCCATGCGTTCGTTCCGTACAAGCGGACACCCGCGCGGCCATCCTACCTCCATATCTGGCCCAGCTGGAAGATGTGGATGAGGGACTGAGAAAACCACATCCACGCGGAGTATGAGGCCGAGCGTTTCCGAGTCCGTCTGCCCGCGGCGGCGCTGCCGGTGCTGTTGGTCGGAGTGTTTTTACTGGCGGTCGACGCCTGCCTCTGCGGCGTGGTCGGAGGATGCTGAGCGCTCACGTCGCCGTGCGAGGCCGAGCCGCTCAGCAGCTTCTTGCCGTCCATGTGCGAGCAATCGGCGGCGGCTTCCGCCGCGTCCTCCGCGCTGAAGTCGTGAACGAACCATCGGAAGCTAAAGAGCTGCACCGAGAAGGAACCCAGCACGACGAAGAAGAGCGTCAGGCCGAACCACCAGTAGTCTCGGTGGAGGTAATAGTCGACTGACAGCCACACGTCGGTGCCCACGTCGGCCACATACACGGCTACTGCGGCTACGATCCACAGGCAGTCCCACAGCGTGTACTTGAGCTGCTGCTGCTGTTCCTGCTCCCTGCCCAAGCGCAGACACGCCGAGTTGGAGCCTCCGCCGGCGCCGCAGCATCGCGACTCCCCGTTGGCGAAGTCGGCGTCCCCGGCGCCCGCCGAGTCGGGCTGACCGCCCGGGTGGAGTCCTTGCACCGAGCCGGAGTGCTCCGAGTTCTGCAGGGGCGTGAAGGCCACGTCGCTCTTCTTCATCTTCAGGACCCCGTCAGATTTAGCGGCCATTATTGCGAGCTCATCAAAAGCCTCATGGATATTTTCGCCCACCTTCTGTGCCTCTCCTCCACCCCTGCCTCCGCTCACCGTCGACACCCTTCTGCGCGTCTCCTCCTCTTCTGCCCTCCTCCTCCTGCTCCTCCTCCTCTTCCTTCTCTCCGGGCAGCGGCAGCCCCGCTACACTGCCGCCAGGTCATCATCCACGAGAATTAAAAAATTGAATAAAAAAACTAAGCTGCTTACGTCTTGGTTCCTAGCGCATTTTGGGTGGCTTTCTTTAGTGGGCCTCCGCTGACATTTGAGGCCGTTTTGTGCCTGGAAGCTCAAATTGCGCTTCGGCGGGTTGTCCCAATAAGCAGACGGACCCCCGCAAGGCCGAGGAAGGTGAAGATGAGGTGATGACGGATGAAGAGGAGAAAGGCTGCACACCAGCTTCTTCAATGGCAGTGACCAAAAAGGATGACATCATCCTGCCCCCCCCTTCCAGTTTGTGTGCTTACTGAAGCTTTGTTACAGAATGAAATAATGAAAAAAAAAAAAACCCGACCAGTGGAAACGCTGTAACCATGGCAATGAAATCACAGGATCTCGGTATGCGCCTCGCCGCTCGAATGAGCACGTTAACAGCAATTGTTTGGCGACCACGAGCTCGAAAACGGTCATTTCCATAAGATAGCGTCTTCTGTCGAGCACAGCTTCCTCTTTCCGTAGCTTAAGTTTGAAGATTGGCCTGTCGGAACATTAAAAACTGAATGGTGCTTGTACAAAGTTCCAGAAATAAGGAGAGAGAGACCATTTACATCGAGCAGTTGGTCAAGGACCGTAAATGAATAGGCTACTCGGGCTTATGTTGTTTTTCGCCATCTTATGTCAAGTATTGAATTCCAGCTAGGTGGGGTTGAAATGTGGCCGATGGGGCGGCCAATCCAAAAGGCCGTGTCGCGGCACGAGCTCTCACAAAACGAGATGCGGTATTTAAAATGGACTTTATTGATCACTTCATATGTACCCGTCGTGGCTGACAAAGCAAAGCGTGGAGAGTCTCTGTTGCCGACACGCACGAGTCGAGTCAGCGAATGGCCAACTCTCCAACGTCTCCATCCTCCGCGTTGTCACGGTGCGAGTGATTTTTCTGCCTCAGAAAACGACCGTCACGCTCTGGTTTCGGTCAATATACACTGGACCCCCCGCATCCTCGCGGTGCGTCAATCTGCGCCATGAGCGGATCCACCCCCCCCCACGTCATTATTTTAAAATAAAGTGTTTTTTTTTTTCCCCTTTTCCCAAAAGCCGCCCAAATGGCGTCGGTAGGAGATGGCTGTCTGCTATTCTGACTTACTCACCATTTGGTTCCACGATAGAACCCCCTTTTTCTTTTGGACGCATCTTACAATCATGGGTGATTCCTGCTTGTCCTTCACTCTAGTGGCAAAGGAGCACTGGCCACAGCGGTGTGAGGAGGTGCAGTGAAAAGACCAAGTGCCCTTGAAGAAGCTCAGCCACCAGCTGCTGCAACCGTCCCTGAAGTTCGTGGTCAGCTCTTTGTCATCCTTCTCCTGACCTTCCTTAGTGATGTGCTCAGAGTCCAATGTTTGTTTAAAAAAAAAAAGGGGGGGGGGCGAAGACACCCGAGATCTGGTGCACCCGTGATGCTCCGAAGGAGAAGCGGCTCAAATAATGGATGGTTGGTTGAATCATTTCATTTGAGGGGTAAAAAGAAATGATCGGTTTAATTTAGGATGCAGCCGATTTTAGACGAGGTTGACCCGCTTCCTAAAGATGTTTATTAAAGCAAAAAAAAACTAATTTTTTTTTTTTTTTTTTTGTCATGTCAAAACGACTTGGGCCATGATTTTAAGAGGGTGACGATATGAAAGTTCCTTTCAAAATATTTGCCATCCTCTCAGCTTAAATCAAAATTCCACTTTGGTCGTATCCAAAAAAATCTCCTAAGTGATGTGTACGAGGAGCGATGGCGTCGGGCACCAGTTATTTCTTGCGCGGGACCTTGTCACCCAGCGGCACTTCATCCATTAGTTTCTGCAGATGAACAACGAAACAAAAATATATGTCGGGAGACGGCGACCCGGAGACTCCCGACTGCGACCGCCGCGCTCACCTCAAGCAGCCTGCTGTAGTGGTTGAATGCGTCCTCCGCATCCCTGCGGGCGTCCTCCACCTTGTACCTGCGGCAGGCCAGCAGCAGTTCGTTGGAGCTGTAGAGTCGGGCCGGGTCGATGGAGTTGCTGTTGATCAAGCTGACCAGGTACTCTCGATAATGCTTCCTGGATAGGAGCGCCAAAGTTAGAGGGAAGCCATTTTAAAAACAAAAAAGAAAAAGGGGGGGGATCTCTCATACTCGCAGAGTCCAGCATGTCCAGTTTGGGTCTGCGCTCCACAAGCTGAGTCGGGCTGCTGGCCTCCATCATCCTTCTGCTCGATGACTCCGCACAGCCCTTGGAGAGAGAACAAAAGGAGACACACCAAGGGCGTGGATTGCAATGGCGGCAATCCATGACCGCGGGTGATGGTCCAAGAGATACCCGACGTTGGTTTCCAACCTCCCCCCCCCCGACATTTCCCACGGTGCGACCAAAAGTAAAAAAAAAAAAAAAAAACCCTCTTCTAATGAGTCGACGTGCAAATCAGGGGGAGGAACGGGACTTCTTTGCAACTGCATCGCAGTCATGGACCCGGCCAATTTTTCCCGACTTCCTATTGTGCAATGCCTGGCACACACGTACGTTCCTCGCACTGATTTGTGATCTGGATTAGCAACAAACAAGAACAACAACTCAAACCCTTCAAATTGTGCCAATAAAAGTGTCCACCGTCCCGTTGCACACCATGTCTTTGAAATATCTTCTCGGTGGTGTTTCGTGGAGTCGGGTCACCTACCTGTCTGCGTTCCGGGAGGGGGCTCAGTATTGTAGGCAACATCATTGTTCTGCCATTCAACGAGAGGAAAAGAAGAAAAAAAAAGTTGTCAATCACTCATGAATATGAGCAACTATTTGAATACTTCAAATGTTTTCACCATTTTTTTTTTAATTATGGTTTAAATTGTTTTTTAACTGGTTTATTGCAGGAATTTTTTAAGTTTACTCTTTGGTGACATTCGATATAAGTTGTGGCTTTTCGTTTTTTTTTTTTTTCAAAGCACTGAGTTTCTTCTCCCCGCTTTCCTGTTTGTGCGCCTCCAAAGAACACGTCGAAGCATTTGTGAAATTTCTATCGAGGGTGATTTTGCCACCGGTGGCAATTTGACTCATTCATCCACTCACCGTGACGCGAGTGATACGAAACCGCCATCGGGTCAACGTACTTTTGTCTCAAATTGTACGCGCTGCGATACTTGACGACGATGCCTGCATCCAATAAGGCAAGAGCGGTCGTCTTTCCGAGTCTAAAGACCCCAACTCGCATACCTCCAATAAAGCCTGCAGTCTCGAAGGTTCCCAGTCTCTCAAATAGAAGAGGCAGTCCCGGGGGTGATGAGCGTGCAGCCCGGACACAGTGCACTCATCCACGGCGCAGGTCTTGGCAGGAGAAAGACAAAAGTACGTGTCCCAAGTCACATTAGGTGGGGAAAGGAGATGCGAGGCTCGAGAGTTGGTACTTCTGGTACTTGAACCGGATGGCGAGCGGAGGGGTTTGCAGACGTACCGTATGGAACGGGTTGTTGCACCCGCTGCAGAACTGGTAACGGCACTGAGAGCAGCAGAAGTGCATGCAGCCTCCTTTCGACAGCGCATATTGGAAGCGACAGTTGGGACAGGCTGAAAGAGAGGCGTGTCAAATGGAGAGGCTCTTACACCCAGAGTTTTTTTTTTACCCCCATTTCTTCACAAAATACCTCGTTTCGATTGAACAATGAATACACCGAACTCGAAATAAACAAAAGAATACATCGATAAATAAATGAACAAAGAAATCAAGACAGCACTGTACAAATATCCAGTGCCGGCTTTCTAGAACTTTACTGCTGACCAGTGACCAGGATGATTCAAGTTAGTGTCTTTGTGTGTGTGTGTGTGTGAGACACGCACTAATGCCGTTGTCTCGCAAGTAGCCAGCCAGGCCCTGTTTCTGATACTCGGGATCGTTCTCTCTCTTCCAGGACTGGTATTGCTCACAGGACAAACCGGCATGCTGAGATTCCCACTGCAGACAGGAAAAAACAGACAAAAAAAAACAAGCACATCACAAGCTTGAGGAGGTTCTTTTGTCCGAATGGCAAACCAGTGGAGGAAAGCGAGCGCTGAAAGGGCCGAAGCTGTTCTTCCGAGCGCTGAGTGTCCCATCCCGGCGTCCAGGCAACTTTGCTTGTCGTCGTCATCCACCGTTCACCCCAACGGAGTCTTTCTTCCAAGGGTCGACTCGGACGTTGGACTGACTCGTCCTTTGGTCATGCTGGTTGTAAGCCGCCACCGCTGGGGATTGTCCCGTCGTGCGCTGAGCAACTCCCAATCGTTTGTGCACATTCATCCGCCACTCATGTATCTTCCTCACCCTTCAGACTCTCCCTGTTTCTTGATTCATTTGGGGTGTGTGTGTGTGTGGGGGGGGGGGGGGGGGTTAAGGAAAGGAAAAAGTCTGAAAAGAAAGGCAGGGCGTGAAGGCAAAAGACAAGGGAATGAGAAAAGACACGACGAGACAGGGAAGGACATGATAAGCAATGCCGCAAAGAAAAGGAAAAGGGACGGGTCAAGAAAGACACGAGGGACAAAAAGGATTGGAGAGTTCAAGGGAAGGAAAATCAAGGCTTGAGGGGAACGGAAGAAAAAGGGAAGGAGAGGAGATGAAAGGAAAGGAAAGGAAAGGAAAGGAAAGGAAAGGAAAGGACAGGAAAGGAAAGGAAAGGAAAGGAAAGGAAAGGAAAGGACAGGAAAGGAAAGGAAAGGAAAGGAAAGGAAAGGAAAGGACAGGAAAGGAAAGGAAAGGAAAGGAAAGGAAAGGAAAGGACAGGAAAGGAAAGGAAAGGAAAGGAAAGGAGGGCGAGAATGCTTTGCGTTCAGGTGACGTGCGGTCGTGAAGGGCCTCGTGACTCTTCAGAGAACTGACATGGCAACACCACAGGAACTTGGGGTCCTTAATGAGGGCCTGCTCGGTCAGCTTCTTATGGAAGAGCTCGTACACGTCGGCTTCCAGACATTCTCGCAGCTGAAATACACATTGATGTCAACAGCTGCGTGATCCCCTCATATATGAACGTGGACTGCGATCAAGAGAAAAAGAGAAGGACCGACTGCGCCATATTCGCGAATGTTAAAATAGCCACACGTAGCTACTGCCGGTGTAGCCTGTCGATTGAATCATTTGGTTCCTCCAACGCAGGGGTGGCCGAGAGAACAACGGAAGGATGAAAGGGCCGCTTTTCAACTTGCTCAAGTCAGTCGAGAAGTCAAATTTCGCCTTTTTCTGACAGCCTCCCCTTTCACTCTGCCCGCCTTCACATTTTTTTTTTTTAGCAAACCTTGCGGCCCATGGTAATTTGTATGTCAGTTTGGATTTTTGGGGTGGGAAATAGTCACGTCACGGGCCGTTGAAAAACGGACAGTGGGCTGCAAATGGCCCCCGGGCCGTAGTTTGGACACCAGTGCTTTAACAGGACGCTGTTTGAGATCCTGATTGTTCTTGCATCAGTGCTTGCTGGTAAGTAGGGAGCAGACTTTTCCTTTTCTCCAGGAAAAGTCGCTTCCCGTTCAATGCCCAAAAGCGAATCAGAGACAGAAATGCAATTGTGCCGTGTTGTTCATCTACCTGGATGTCCAAGGTGGAGAAGTAGCTGTTGAGGTCCTCGGGGTCATTGATGTCGGGCTCCCAGCAGACCGGACACACCATATCTCTGATATGCTTGTCCCTGACGGCGATGGTGAAGTGCTGCTGGAAACAACCGCAACACACGGAACACTGGCACGACGTCAGCGACTGCATCTGAAAAGCCCACACCACGGACCCGCTCGGATTGAGCCCAACACACGCGCCCGAGGTCGAATGGGACCTTCGAATAGCCTGAAAGCAACAGAACGCCCTGCGCGTCCGCAGCGACAGCAACAAAAGATGAGGAGAGCCGCCGCCGTTACCTTACTATGGGGGAAAACGGAAAGGCAGATGGGACATTCTTTGGCCAGGACTCTTTTGATGAACTCCCTGTCATGAGACTCCCGCACGGCCTGTACGACATCCTCCAGGGAGTAGGGGGCGTTGTGCTCCCGAAGAAGCGAGAGCGCCAGCTCACAGCGGCCCCAGCTGGGTAGATCGTACACCGCCAGTAATCTCCGACATATACGCTGAAAGCCAAAGATCCACAAACACGAGACAAATGCTGAGAAACTCCAGGTCAAGTTAGCAGATGACACACGCACGGTGGGGGACGGAGCCGGGCTTCCCGGAGAGACCTCTGCTGCCCGCTTTCGAGGCCTCCCTCCTCCAACGCACCCGATTCAATTGATCAGGATCGCCTTCGGGCTTTTCCGGAGCTTGCCGATGAGCTGATGGTTTGAAAACAGGCAGTGATCGAAAACAGGCAGGATATGGATCTCCGGGAACCCCTGTTGCCTCCCCCTGCGCTCGCCCGTGAAAGGGAAAAGCCCGTAGAAGCCATCCGAATGGATCCGGCCTGATCCAAGTCACGGGCCACTTCCTGGTTGCCAAGGCAGGAAAAATGGCAGAAGGGCACACGGGCGCCTTCTTCTGAACGTCCGCCATTCTTCTCCGTCACGGTCATCCGCCAAACTTTTTCGTCTCGATTCGGAAAGTGCTTCGAGGTCTCCCGACACTCCGGTGCCGGGGGGCGCGCCGCCGAGGGCCGGCTACACGGAGTGCACTTGAGCTCACCTGTTTGTCGGGGTGACGGATGTCCAGCGCTGGCTCGGGCTCGTCCCTCCAAATGCGTTCATGAAAGGGTTGCAGAAGGGGGCGCTGCAGGAAAGCCAGCGCCCCTCTCACCTCCCCCCCGCTTTGCCTCAAAACTTCATGACAATGAGCCTCGTCGCCGAAGCCCGAAGAACGCAGCATCTTGACCTGGGCAGAGACGTGACAACGGCCGTCAACGCCGGCGGCGGTCGCACTTGGTCAAGGGTGCGGCGATCGCTCGCGCGGTGGACGATTGGGAGTTACTTTTGCGAGTCGCTCTCGCAGGGCTTGTCTGGCAGCCCTCTCGGAATCGCCTCCTGTTGTCAGCCAGGCCTGCTTGGCTTCCGCTCTGGAAAGTTGGACCGCAACTTTTGCTTTTCCGGAATCCTCGGCGGGGGCCTCATACCACCTGTTCTGTATTGAGAGTACAGCTGATTCAAAGGAGGCATCGTGTGTGTGTGTGTGTGTGTGTGTGTGTCAGACATATATGTATGTATTTATTTATTTATTTTTGTCGCCAAGATTTGGAACACTAGCCCGGTGTCGTCGTAACTGTGAGATACTTTCATCAAAGTCCCCCGAGCAACCAAGAACCGAGGTCAGTCGTTTGAGAATTGTCGCCGACTTCACTTTTTTCCACCATGCTGAGTGACCTTGGGGGTCAGTCACCTCGGAATTGCGATCGCGAGTGGTTTCAATTGCAATCGGGCGCGAGAGACGGCCAACGAGTGCGGGCTCGCGTTTACATACGGACGGATGGGAGAGCGTGGCCGACAACAAGCTGATCTCGTCCAATTGCCGAGGCAGCTCCGACTTCAACCATTTGCAAGGCAGAACGGCGGAATCTTTGGCGACCCTCACGCACGTGTACACCTCCTCTGGGCTGACGCCGTTCTTCTCTCCATCCTGACACAGACCCGATGATCAAATGCTTAGACACGAGAAGACAAGCGCGTGAAACCGTGCCGGCCGCGACCGGGACTTGCTCGAATCAGCCGGATGAGCTTCAGCCCGTCCTCCTTCATTCGCCGCTGCCTGCAGGAGTTTGGGTCTCGTTGCGTCGGTCCTTTGCCTCGGACCGGCAGGGCGGGGACCCGTCGGACTGGAGAGGGAGGGCGGAGCTTTGAGGGCAGAGGTGCGGGCTCCGGACGGGCCAGGTCACACATCTCGCAAACTGTGGCAGGTGAGTAGTTGAGGTACGTGCAGAACTGACACACCCACTGGCCAGAAAGATGGATGATAAAAAGGAAGGGTGGGGGGACACACACCCGCAAAACTTAGCATCAAACCATTGCGCAATCATATAAGAATCAAAAGCTTCCAAAACATCCATCCATCCATTTTTTTCAAATCCGCTGGATTTTTTTTTTGGCATGCGGGAGGAAAGCGGAGTACTCGGGGAAACCCCACGCGGACACGGGGAGAACGCGCAAAGTCCACGCGGGGACGAAAGCCGGAATCGAACACCTCCAATGGGCAGCGACAGCTTCAAGCAGATCTGGAGTAGCGTTAGCATGTGTGTGAAGTTTCTCTCCTAATGTATGCGGAGCCAAATCAGCACCTCACCTGGCTGTCAGGGTCCCCGGGCATGCCCAGTACAGGCGCCGGCGGTCTGGGTGGCGTGATGGGTGGGTGCGACGGAGGAAGCGGAGGTCGCGTCGCCAAGCGAGGTCTTTCGCACACCTGGCACAGAATGCTGCCGGCTGCGTTGACCACGGTGCAGCTCTTGCACTGCCACTCTGTGTTGAAACAGTGAAAGCAGCTGCTTTCCAAGATTCAAGTTGAGCAATTGCAAGCGACGCTCGAGTCGGAATCGCTTGGAAAATATCGGCGCGATAAAATGGGGAGTGGCTTATTTCTTAGCGCTCCTCTGTGGTTTGCTGCCACATTGACGAGGGAAGCTTGTCTTGATTTCAAGACACACTAACATAGACAAAGATATGTCAATGTTGAGCCCAGATCAGTTTGTGGCTTCGAATGATGTCGTTGACTTTTTTTTTGGTTTTGTTTTTTGTTTTTACAGAGTGGCTGGATTGTATTATGTACCGGCACATTTTTTTTTTTTTTTAATTAAACAACATGGAGGTAATTTTTTTCTTTTTTTTCCTCAGTTCTGGACAGAGAAAATAACGTGATTCGACACCCCTCAGTTTTTTCCAACGCGTCCCAAAAAAAAAAAAAAAAAAAAAAAAAATGAACAGCAGGATGAAAACGATCAGATCACAGAGGTTGAGGGAGGCACCGATCGATGGAACAGACCTGTCATGGTAGCCGGCGGAGATTGATCGGCAGCGGAGCCGAGTGACTCGGAGCGAGGGCGCTCACAACCCTCGCACAGCGCGAGCTGGGATGAGTTGACGGCGGTGCAGTGAAGGCAACGCCAGGTGGAAGGACTGAAAGCGGAAGGCAGAGTTAAACCAACCAGAAACTCGGAGGCGGGGGGGGGCGCACGACGTGCGTCACATATGCTGTGTTGCGAGATATATTCAGTCTAACCTTTGACTCCTCCCACTTTTAGACGTCGGGGCAAAAGAGGTCGTCGATGGGACGGCAGTTCGGCGGTGCTTGGCCCTTTCAGGAAAGGAATGGTACACTCGGTCACACTCGCAACACATGCCTTGGAGGCAAGTCCGGCAGTGGACGGCCATGCGGAATATTCCACAGACGGCGCAGTTCTCTGAAAGGCATCGTAAACAAGGTCATTTCTTTTTTTTTTCTTCTTCAATACATCTCAAGCCTCAAAAGGACTTCTTTTGCGACTCGATGACTTCTTTTTCAGATCAATTCAGTCATTTTCAAGAGCAAATGTTTGCACCTTGTTTTTTTTTTCTTTCAACAAAAATAACAACAACAAGAAGGTGAAAAGTTGCGCATCCTGCAATAACGTGAGCTGTTTCCGGATGCATTTCTTCTTCGCGGATGGACGGGTGGATGACCGTGGAGTTATTCTCATGCGGGTCACCTGGGCGACGGTGGCCACGCCCACCGCATGGAATTGCGCGGTGAGGTTCAAGGGTAAGAAAGAA